TTTACAATATTCAATTTATTTATTTTTTAAATATTCAGGGTAGAAAAATATTATATTAAAGAACACGTATCAGTGATCGGTTACGTGAGAATTTCCGCCGGAAGAAAGTTACACATCCAATGTTACAAACGAAAAAACGCTAATAATACGATCGTGTTAATACCATATATGTCGATACATTTTATGCGATTTACATATCATCTTGTTAATAGTTGTTACCATTACGAATAACTTTAATGATAATTAACATTTAACAGCAGTATATACAAAAACTTAATGCTATCGTACTCGCGCATACGTCAGTATAAATATATACGTATACATATACACATACACATTTATTTTAATTCTTACATAATTACGCTGATACATTTGTTCTTTGAAAGACACACTGAAATATCAAAATCAAAGTATCGACTGTCGCCACCAAAGAATCGTTGCCAAAGGTGCCACATTTTTTTTCACGACAAAATGTGCCAGTGTACTATTGTATTATAACGTATCGACGACACGATTGGAAAATCAGTCTGCTAAGAAAATTAATTAGTTACGATTACCATGAGAATTCACAAAATACGATGGTTCGACGTAAATATGTATGTGTATTTGTCCCGATCCTTCAAACCTCCTGTTCTCGAAAAAGATCTAAAAACAACTTGTTCGCATCTTTGTGTCGTAATAATTCTAGAAGTATATAAGTCTAGCATCCTCTGGATTCTGTTCTACTGGACAATATGGACATTTCAATCTGAAAAAGAAAAAGAAAAAAGAAGAAAAGTCGAATTTCTTTTCTTCTTCTGATTTCACCTTTTCTCTTTTAATCGCAATTTCTTTTCTAACGGACATACTTGTTTGCATTGGTGAGTTTAGTTAACGCGTCTCTCGATATAACATGTCCACAGACCAATTTCATAGGTGGATTGTTCTCCGTGCTCTGTTGCCTTAAAATCGGACATGCGAAAACAGAGTGATAACGACCTTCCTGGCCCAGATCTATCTCAATCTGGAAACAGAACACGTCGTCCCTTCGATAATATACCATACAATCCTTTCTCTTCGTCGTCTCCGCTACAGTTACGCGCTATTACTTACCGGCAGTTCGTCTATCCCATTCCAAACGGTATTTACTTGCCTCAGTTGCATCACTTGCTTAATATTCAGAAGCGTTGGTAACGCGGTACAACCAGCGTTAATGCTACAACATAACGTTACAAGTTTTTCCCTTGATTGAATTGCACGTTACGCGATTTAACGAAGCCGCGAGAAAACATACCACACCGATAGAGGGCTGTCCACGCTTAAGCCAAACAACATGCAAGCCTCTCTTCGGAATACATCGTGAATATCTAGCCACAAAATGGGATCCAATAAATGACTGTAAGGAGAGGATTGTATTCCAGTTTGCAAGTAAAGTAGCGTGCCCATTAAAGCTTGCACCTCTTTTTCATGACATCCGACGTATTGTGTAAGATTTTGCCGAACATATGTTATCGCTTCGGTTTGTTTGCTAGGACCTTGTTGAATCAGTTTTATGAAATGTAACCTATGTAGCTTAAATTCGAGGGAGGAATTCTACAAGCAACGTTTAATATCAGACCAAGTCGCGGCGTAATAGCGTTATCGGAATAGTGGCAACGAACGATGCTATGCGTACTTGTGCTAAAAGGGCGTCTCTATGTCTTTTAGCCCAATCTAGTGCCGGTTCAAGGTTTTTCTGCTTCAAGCAATCCAATATGTAATTTAATTCTGTGAATGGTTCCTTTGTCCCTTCGTCAGTTTTAATACCAGCCTCCTGTAATACCAAATACAGTCTATCTCTGAACGCCCCCAAAAAATATCCTAGCTGTTACTTAATCGAAGAGCTCGGTGTAGACTCACCGCTGCCAATTCTGCTGCGATATCCAACATGCCATGACGGTAGAAATGCTGACAGATAACTTTATTCAAAAGATGCGATTTGCCTGAACAAGAGAATACATCTTCTCTGCTTGTGCTTGTAAAATCTGCAGTAAAGTTCCTGTCGATTGCTTTTCCCACTTTAGAAACTGAACCGTGTAGCTCTCTGTGTTCTGTGGTTAAACGATGCACAGTTTCGCAAACTTTCTTCATCGCTTCTTTCAATATTTGCACTTGACCTGGTGTTAATTCATGATCAGGAGGTGCTGATGGGAAAACAGTCCCAATACCATTAAACGGGATAGTGTTACAGTGTTATACACGATTAAAAATTTTAGGGTTCTGTCGCGAATTAAAACTAGCTACGGCAATTATTTCAACAACGTAGTACTGGAAATGAAGAAAAAGGAAAAGAGCAACGATAATTAAGGAACGTATCGAACAAAAACTAATTCTGAGTGCACCACTGCGACCAAAGAGGTTAAAATTAAACTGTATAATACGAAAGAAAAATGTTCAATTCTCAGGTTAAACTTCGTTTGATTCGAATCTACATGGACGCTGCATCAGAATTGAAATCCTCTACATTCTTTATCACATATTCTTCACGTCTACTAAGAATATCACAATTTCAAAAAAATTTGACTTTTTTCTCAACGAGACGTGACATTGCAATAGCGGCAGAGCTTTTCATTTACCTTCTGCGAATTCCCTTTTTAAAGATTCAATATGATTTATTAGATCTTGCAGTACTGTCTCTGCATGTTCGTTTACCATGCCAAATTTCAATAAAATCTTGTCAACTTCACGTTCAACGGCATTACACGCCTCCATTATTGTTTTTCGTCGTTGATATCGCGTCACTACTTGTCACTTTGGCTTTATGCACAAGCCGCATACATGTAGATGTTTGTGATGATTCTCACTACATGCAACACTATTCAGAAACACGGGCGCGTGCGCAACCTATTGTATATGTTATATGTATCTCTAGTGGACGCACGCATCTCACTACATATGCATCGCGTAATAATATCGATTCTTTTCTTATTTATCGAAAATTTCTAAACTTAATAATATATGTACGTTTTGATATGTCGAAGCGAGGAACGTGTGAAAGCAATAGGATTAAAAGCTGAAATATAAAGAACAAATAACACTTCCCAAAGTTTCAACAAAACATAAACTCATTTTTTATTATTAACATTGCTATTATTATTATTTTGTAGTTGCTGTTTGTTGTTGCAAGCACTATTACACAATATACATACCCCTTTTGTACAATGACATTATATTAAAGAAATGTTTTATGCTAAGTTCAAATGTACATATGGCGTGAAATTAAATTTTACTTTATTAGAATTCTAATACTTGAATAATGTTGGCCTGTACACCTATCTTCCCGTACAATTTCTAGTGTACAGACTTCATTTTCGTTAAAATAATACCAATCTTACTGGATGTAGAATATTTTAAAGACAATGCGGTATATTTCTAATGATATTTATTTTCTTTAACATATTACTCCGATGAAGACTCAAATTGGAGATTGCTCTGTAACAAACATGAGAAAAGATTAGAATTACATCTCTGCAATTGATAGCAACTGTACAACTATTAACATTATTATGATAAAGTGGTATAATATTTACCCATTCACGTGCCATCATAAGAATTGTGTTTTTGGATAGTTTTGGTCCAATTAGAGGATTCATTTGTGCCATGTAGCAACACAGCCAGCTGTAAAAGTGAATGGAAATACGTTCGATCATGCGTAATTCGTTCGTTTAGCGAAACACTTTCATTCAGTTTCATTACTTACAACAACCAACATGTAAAACCTGTCAATATGAGCATAACCTGAAGAATTCTGTGAACGAGATAAAAATATAATAATCGGAGTGTTATCGGTGAAATTAAAGTGATTATAGTCTAATAGTATTTTGTTTGCGCAATGTGAAAAATGTCCAAACGATGACAATTTTAGTACATGTCAATTTCCATAGAACACGTACCCTCGATTAGGACCCTTCGGAACAAAAATAGGTAAAACGATCCCTACTATTCCCCAAAGTACTGTGAAAAATAACATTGGCAACAACGATGCTCCCATTTTTCTTTACGTTTAATTTTCAACCGTGTACCTTATACCGTTAACAGAGACTGCGCCCCATCGAGCGATTAATTTACCAACGTATATACGCGAGAATCACGTGAATATCTCGATTTGCTTCGATAGGTCGTACTCTTAAACGAGAGTTGCGATACGCGACAGATCGCATTCTCGTTTCTTCGATTGTTCGCTACACACGATACGATATCCGATTCGATATCTAAACGATAAACAAAATGTAACGGAAAATCGAATTACATAGCTATTGTCGGAAACATGTCTTTTTATTCATGAAAGTATTACAAATCTCAAAGTTGACAAAATTTAGATAGAATTTAAGTATGTATAAAATTTGTACTGTCTTCTCTCTCTCTCTCTCTCTCTCTCTCACTCTCTCTCTCTCCCTCCCTCCCTCCTTCGCATTCCCAAATAATGTTTTTTTTTTATATAGAATAGAAACCATGTTAAGGTACTTTATTTTAACGATAGAACATTTGTCGTTCTGATCGATGTATTGAAACTATCAATTCAATCAAGATCAATACTTTTATCAATGTAATTAATACATTTAATCTCCAAATAATCGTTTCTGTGTTATTTCGACGTTTTTACTTAATCGTTGAACGTCCTCGTAAGTTTTTGATACTTCTACGATCGATGGACCGTCTCCTCCGCCAATCGATGAACACTGAGTGATTTTGGCAGTTGTCATTCCAGATTGAGTTTCGATACATTCGACCAAAGATTCTGTCAAGTGTCTAACAGAATTCTTATCCGATTCGTTGTCAGTAGCTGCTGCGTATTGTTGAGTTTTCTCCACGTGGTGAGATTTGGGCGTGGTTGTGTTCAAAGTTGAACAAGAAGTTACAAACCTTTCTAGAATACCTGAAGGTAGTTTTTATTACATATCAGTAGTGAATGATCAGCTAAAAATTCAAATACTGATACAATATCGTATGCACGTTACCTGTCAGATTGATACTTTCTTCAGACAAACAAATATCATCGTGAGAACCAATATTATCTCTACTGAAAAGATGTTGCCTGATAGTAGTCAAATTTCTCGTATTTAATCTACTCTCATTTTTAATCGAGGAGTCATCTTTGTGCGGTGTTTTATACATAACTGAACGTTCTGTGCGCATTTCACGTCCCTTTTTAATGTAGGGGATCAAGCAGGATAGATTCAGTTGTGTTCTAGAGACGCTATTCGCGGTCTGTATAGATAAAGGTGATTTGCAACTGCTCACTGAAAAAATGTCACCGAAAAATGTGAAAAATGTGAAAAGCGATAAATTGATATTTACTCTTACCTGTATAGGGAGTTCTTACGTATGTCAGAGGTTTCTGATGATCGTCGGGTAATCCGTAAACCGTAGATGCCGTTCTATTGGTTACATCTAACAAAGAAGAAGTACACAGCGTCGAAACAATGCATACATACATATATGTATAATAGAAAGATTGGTAGTATGTAAAAAATAGAATGTGAGAAAATATACCATGCATAGTATCACCCTGCCCTTTGCTGTTTTTCCCATTCCAACTTGCGTTCATCAAAGTTGTATTATTCATAATTGCAACTAAAGCGGGATTTAGCCTTTTTACCACATTTAAGATTAGTTCGCATCGTTTTATCACCCGCAATTGTTGTGGTTCCGTAGCATTATCTGTTAGAAGACTTTTCGAAGCACCGTCAGCCTCGAATATCGCTTGGAAATATAAATATGATTACGAGGTTGCATAAATTTAACATAGAAACGATGAACTATGAAAATACATACCAGCTTTTAATTCTCCAAGCATCATTATTGTTTGCCTTTCTATGATGTCACTACCAATATCGTTTATGGTCGTGCTAATTTGACGAGAAAGCGACAAAGATCTGAGCACGACGCTTTGTACTTGCGCTTGTGTGATAGGTTTTCTATTGTCGAGGTAATTAGACATTACCGCGATACGATCTTGAATATCGTCTAAGACCACCTAAATATGCCGACTAAATTGTATCATGGTTCTTCCCAAGACGTATTATATTTGTTGGAAAAGTACCTGACAATAAGCTGCCGAATCCATAATCAGATTGATCGCATCGTGCAACTTGTTAACTTCAAATTGCCATTGTGCAGTTAAGAGTTTTACATTTGCCCGCATTTCTTTGCTTTCTGGATGCAAGTAAAAGGTAGCAATGGCCGAAATCAATTCGGTTTCCAAAGATTCCAGACTCGCTAAGCAATTTCGTATTTGATTGATTCCTAGGACAATAAATATTGTAGGAGGCGGGATAAACATATATGGAGGCAGAGGGATTCCGTTTCAAGAATTCACTCACGGTTTCTATCTTTGCACGAGGCAATAGCAAACAATCCAATTTGCATAGATTTGTCTATGATCTGATCGAAATCTTCTATAGCGTTAGTCAAATCGTTTTTCGATCGTTTGATAGCGCTTAGGGAATTGCCACATATAGTAACAAGTTTTCTCAACGCGTGAAATGGATCGCTAAAGACCTCCATAACAAGGTTCAATACCGATACATTAATCTTACGCTCTAGTCGATAAAGCGCGTCGGTCAAGCTGTTGATGAACAAGTTATTAAGTGCTGTATCGGACGATTCGGACGTTAATTGAAACTTTAAATTCTCGTATTCTGATATAATGGACTGACAGGTTCCGGTTATTGCTTTAAAATTACAAGGCTTGCAGACTTGTGCGATCGCCATCGCATACGAGAACACATCTTCTATTCGAAACCATAATTCCTTACATTCCACTGTTTGATCCTGTTGCGATTTATTCGGCATTTCCGATAAAATATCCAATGCCAAGTCCATCCTAAACGCAAAGCGCATCGGTAGAACAGACACTGAAAATTAAAATTAGCCTTTTCGTTACCTGTACACAAAATGATTTTCTCGCTCGGGTATTTCATCTTGGAATAACGGATCTGACATATCCAACAATTCTATTATCATCTTCAAGCAAAAACAAAGTCTTTCGCAGACATATTTCTTGCAATTCTATATAATAAATAAAATATAATAAAAGCATAAACATCCGATTAAAGTAAGCTTGTACATGCATCCCTTAAAATGCAGATATCATAAAGGATTTTATTACATAGATGGATGCATTTAGTTGGTGCTGCTCTTGTACTAATTGCACCAACAGTTTAAATGCTGCACACAATTGACACAAATACAGTACAATCTTCTCTCCCAGTGATCGACATACCAAGCTCTTCCTATATATTTGTAACGGTCCAAGTAATTCCAAAATGGAAGTGCCCAATTCCTGGTGGTGATGGAAGTAGCTTTGTAAAATGACATAAGATGTTCCTGGATCTATTCCTTAATCTATCTGATTAGAACATGTACCTTTATGTTCTGGAAATGTTCAATTTCATTGGCTTGACCCATTTCCCTGATATAGTCCAGACAATCCATCAATCTTTGTTTCAATGGCAAACATTCCAATTTTTCTAGAGCTTCAAGAGCCAATTTAAACTTATCCAGTACGGTGGATAATATTTGGTCTGCCATTTGTTTGTTGATGGCTTCAATCTGTAAATGTTAGGTTTAACGAAAGTTGAAGAATAACCGGTTATTATTCTGCTTTAACGTACAGACTCGTTCATGTATTCTAGAGAACAAAATTCCTCGACGATAGTAGTAATCTTTGATTCCATCTCTTCGTAATCGCTAACGTCTTCTTTCGATAGAGCGTCAAATTTTTCTCCCAGACACTCCAGTTGCTCAAAAAGTGTCGACTTTGTTGATGCAGAGTCATTTTGGTCAGGAGAGTTACCGTTTATGAGTCCTTTCAATTTATTTACCTAAGGAATCAAAATATTTCGAAAGTGAGAAGAAATGAGAAAGTTGGTATGTTTTATATGTGTAATATTTTTGTTTTCTTTACTTGTTCCTCTATGGGTACTAATATTCCTTTTATTTCCTTTGTCTTTATCGGCATTTTTACGCTTTTCGTTTTTTGAACAATTACCAATGAAGTTAGCTTCGCAACTTTTAGTTGTTTGTAAATAAAATGAAAGTAGCAACAAGTTGATTTTTAACTAGCCGTGGTAACAATAGAAACCGGTATCCGTATTACGGTTCTACCACATTTCGTAGAGAAAAATGGCACGTAGTTACGTGGTTAGTTAACCACCTACATGTACATTTAATTTTTCCTTTCGTTACGTACAATAAGAGTTCTTCGAAGTAATTATTTGTTGTTTGAAATATTCGTCAAGTGTGCATAGGAATTTAGATAAAGCGAATTTCTGGATGTGATACGTGAAGTTTATTTGTCTTTTCGTTTAATGCAAGTTGCCCATACTGACTTGATGGAAGTATATATGCACACATACGTAAGTAGTTACATGTGTGAACACGTTTTGGCCTGGGTAAAGAACAGTTCGATAATATCGACGGTAGAGCAAGTTGCCTGTGTGTGATTCATTTTATCAGTTGCGTGACATAAATTAATTTACAATTGGGTACAGAGAAACCGCATGATGTTTTATTAACGTTGTAAGTGTGATTTTGAATGAAGTATGTCAGGAATACCGTATTTGTTTTCTTGTGCGTGTAGTTTTTGAAGGAAAGTAGAAGGACTACACATGCTCCCGACAGGGTTAAAAATTCCGACATTCTACCGGAATAGATTGATTCTTATTGCTTATGATTTTCCGATGAAAATTTATCGATTACTCTGCGTATTTGCAATTCCGCGATCACTTGGTATTATGTATTGTAAATGCCAGTTGATGTAGTCGAAGCGGTAATATGTAATAAGGATTAAAAGGTAAAGGTCCAATAGCTAGTTACCGCATACAATAGAGGGTTATGTAATTTGTTTCGAATTGTTCGATCGAATAAACTATTAATTCGGAATTTGTCGTCAGGTGAAACCAGTGAAATAAAATGTATGCATGTGCATCGGGAATACATATGTTTCTACACGCATAAACACGATGGATATTTTGATGTGTATAACGCGTGCGTAAATGCGATGCATGGAAACGTGTGTATGGATTTTAGAGAATGATATTTCAGTAGGAACGATTTTATTATCGTTCAGTATCATATGTTGCGTAATTTCATAGATATTGATTCGGTTGAGATGGGAGGTTCAACAAGCGATAAAAATGTTTTTTTTCTATATTAAAAAGTGGGTAGAATGTATTTTCATAATATGCGTATATACGTTCGTTTTGTTTGCAGATCAAAGGATAGACAAGCTGACCGTTTGTTGAATAATCGACGTACGGTCAATTGTACTGTTTGAAAGAGAGAAACGGCGAGTGTTGCAAGTTTGTTCCTTTGGCAGGACAAATTACATTGGTCGTAAAAATGGTGAAGCATTACGAGAACAGTACAATTTTTCAGTTCAACTGGAATCAAGTTGCACAAGGATTTTGGGAGAGATATCCAAATCCTAACAGGCAAGTGTTAAGCTTCCTGAAACTGGTAGAGCGGTGACTTTGTTTATCGATAAGCGTTTGAAGAAAATGGTAAAGTTGACATTCTTCTCTCAGCGAGCACGTACTTACGGAGGACACTGTATCGAGGAGTGTTAAAAATGGTATATTACATAGTAGGCGACTTTTGACAAAGACTAACAGAGCGCCTAAATGGGGAGAGAGATTCATCAGCAAGAATACGGTGAAAATAATCGAAGAGAGTACGGTAGATCCGAAGACGAAAACTTTAACAACGTATACGAGGAATTTGGGTTACACGAAAGTGATGGTAATTAGCGATAGTATGCGTAATATCGTCCGTACATAGTGACGTGTATCGGTATTGACGTTGGCCTATATTTCTGATTTGGCAGAGTGTCGTGGAGAAGGTGGTTTACAGAGTTTGCGAAGAAAATCCAAATTGGACGGTGGCAAAGAGATCGGCATGGATCGATAGTCAAGTGTTTGGATTTAGCAGAGCTATACAAGCATTCGGATTGGATAGATTTAAAAAGAATTGTACTCTGATGTATAACGGTTTCAATTATGTTCTAGCGCATATGTTTCCGCATACGGCACAGTACATGAATCCATCGCTTTCTCAAATGGGTTTCGCTCATCTAGTAAGGGGAAGGAAAAGGAGGCGGAATGAATATTCGACCGATGAAAGATGGGGGCGGGTTGTCGCATGTTTAGCTCTGGTTTTCACGTTTCAGGTGAACGACGCTGCGATAAAGAGCAGCCTCGCGGAAGACTTTCAACATTCGTTACAAGGTAAAGCGGAGAAGGTGAAGGACGCTGCAAAAAAGGCAACTGACTTGGCGAAGAAAAAGGCCGGAAAGATTTACGCGGTGTACCAGCCGGAACAATCATAAACGACAGGATAGAGTAATTAAAAAAATAGAAAAGTATTTGGGCGAACGGGTAAAAGGAGAAGAGGGTAATTTGGAGACGCGACCCCGAACGATAGGGGGGCGTTTAGTTGTTGCGAATGGACGGGGTAAGAGGAAGTGAAACGGAGTAATTACGGTGAAGTCGTCTGGTATATCGTTACGATTGATTTTCACGTTCGAGTAATTTTCGCGGATAAGGCGAAAGAATTTTCGTTTAAACAACTTTGCTACGATGCAACTTTGTATCACGTTATCATTCCTGCCAACTACCAATTAATTTAGTAATCTTTAAGACTTGTACATGATTTATTTGCGATAGAGAGTTTCAGATCAGCGGGAAAACGTACATTTAACGATAACGATCATTGACCGAATGCGAAATCATGTGTATTACTACGTGCTATCCTGCCCGATCGATGATCGATTTCAGAGCGAAGAGCGTACGTGGTGTCGTGGCCGTGGTACCATTCAAAGCGCTTTACCATTTTTCTTTTTTCTTTTTAACCGTGTTTACTCGGTTAAACGCAACGACACGCGAACTAAACGTATGTACATTATTCTGTAAATTATTCGAACGTTAGACCAAACGAGAAGCCGAACGCTCGAACGAATTTAATTGGCTTGAATAAAAATCAAGGTTCTCTCGTTGATAAATGAGACGAATGGATTATTAGGAGTAGGGGGGAATCGCGTCCTAGCGAGAGAGCGCGCGTGTGTTGGTGTATGTACGTGCGTGGACATTTTCTAGCGGTATTATTCGATAAAACTAAAGTTGCATTTGCATTCAGAAGATATGCGCGCGTGTGCAGGCACAGACAAAATCACGCTGCTGCCCCCTTTGTGTATGGGTACGACAAAGCAAACTGTATAAATTATGTAGTTAGAATACAAAGAGTATGACATTGTAAATCGTGCAAACATTGCGTAAAAAGAGTCGGATGTATCAGCGTATAAGTAAACTGTACGAGTTTTTTTTACCTTGGCGTTTTTCTTTGTACAAGGTTCTCTCGTTTGTACGGACTCGACATGCGCTTACTTTAGGAAATTTATCGGCATGTTTTTCAACTGGTAAATCTCCGATGGGAGGAAATACAGAAGGATGCGGCGCAGTCGGTAAAACGGAGAACCTTGAACGGTTGATCGGACGGAAAGTGGGATTTCCAGACGCGACGATACAGTATCCAGGAACGGTATCAGAAGAAGGCAAGGGAAAAGGCGGTTGAGAGGGAGAAGGATAAATTTGCGAAAGAAAGGGAGTGGGGCGGGTTGTGTACTTCTACTGGAAGATACCGCGAGTGTATGGCGATGCAGACGGCGTGAGACGGGAAAAACCGTGGTAGTTGCGCAGAGATTTTTAAGGTGAATCCACGACGATTCTCGTATGACCGGTTGGTGCTGGCCACTTGACGGTCTGACTCAGCTATAAAAGTGAACGCGGATCGGTCTTTCCGTTCAGTTAATCGTGGGTCTCGAACGGGAATCGTATAAAGAGAATCTCGAAGAGAATGTGGTTGTTTTACGTTGCGCTGGGTGAGTAGCTATCGGTAAAGTATCGTATCTATTCTAAATATACACGTAACGCTTGTTCTCTAGCTGTTGCATGGAGCGGGGGCGTGATCGCGTTTCCACAGGTAAGCAACATATCTCCGTAAGGATTTTCTTATTCCCGATGCACGATCGCGATTCACCGGATGATAATTTGAAGAACGATAACGGGGGTTCCACCGAGGTGTTCGAAGTGGACGGATTCGCGTTCGACGGTCCAGTCTCGACAAGCAGTATTTCCGGCGACAGGACAAGCACACCAGCCCTGACGACAAGTTCATCGACGTCCACGGCTGCTCCGTCTAACGTTCAATTGGAGCAGTGTGTCGCGGCGTGTCCGGTGAGTCTTC